GTGGAATTATTTTTCTTTCTTACTGCTACATGAAATGGCTTGAAGTGGTTGCGTTTATAAAGTTTAGGACATTACACTATGTTGAAGACTATTAAGTAAATTACAGATAATATAATATACTAGTGGAGGAGCACTTTAAAGAGGGTACCATTCTTGGAGATCCTCACATTGGGCACCAGCTCTTTCTTGTTACTGGTTTTCCTTTTGAAGAAATTTGTATTATGCAAGATTTGTAGTATGTGTATACAAAAACAAAAACAAAATAAACAGCATAAGGAACTCTTGTTCCCATCACCCAGATTCGTCTTTGTCCTCCCCAGCATTCGTCCAAGTTCTAGCTCACTTTATCTTTTATATGCAATCCAGAAACTAAGCCTACAGTGTATGCATGTATGAGAATATCACAGGGAATAGATCCAATTTCTACAATTAATATTTACTAGTAATTATAAAATTTTGAGTAATCCAAAAAAATAAAAATAAAAAGGTGTCTAGCAATACAGGTGATGAGAAAAGCCCTGTTAAACAAATATCTTGAGGGCTGGAAAAATGGCTCAGTGGTTAACAGTGCTTACTGCTCTTGCAGAGGGCTGGAGATTGGTTCCTTGCTCCACATGGCATCTCATAATAGACTGTAACTTCAGTTCCAGGGTATCCAACACCCTCTCTGGCTTTTGTGGGCTCCTACATGCTCATGGTGCATATAAAATCACAGAGGCACACAGGTACACACACACACACACACACACACACACAAATCTTTTTTTAAAAAAAAACACCGTGAATGATAGCTCTTGCTCAGAAGAAATTCCTATTACCACTATTTTGAGATAATGTCTTAGAATTTCCCTTTTACATTACATTTCAAGTGTCCATATGTGCATGTGTGTGTGTGTGTGTGTAAGAAATAGATTTAATTTCATAAGAAATGCAAGTTCATTTTGTGCTTTTGTACATAAATTATATCACATAGTGTATCATTGCTCTTCAAACTACTTTTTTACTTATCAATGCATTTTCAGCATCATTCATTGCCTCTGTATATATGGTCATTCTGTGTTGCCCAGGCTGGCCTCAAACTCTTGAGCTCAAATGATTCTCTTATCTTAGCCTATCAAGTACCTAGGACAATAGACCTGGGCCATTGTGATCAGCTTTCTTCATCCTTTTTAGCTGCTGCATGGCCTTCTGAAGCATGAATGTAACCAGACTGTAATATTCCTCTAGTGAAGAATATTTAGATTGTATTTTTTCTGTTACTAGCAATAAACCTTATATATGTATGTTTATACACTTCCTTCAAGATAATCATGTGTGAGTGCATACATATAGTCTTTGGGTGTCAATTCTTCATTTCATTGTAATGTGATAAGCAAGTGTGACTATATCATGATTTTCATTTTGGGGAATTTGTTGACAGTTATTTTGTGGTTTACATATGGCAGATTTTTTGTGACAGGGCTACATATGACTGTATATTCTCTGATGAGAAGGAACCTAGTATCTGTTATAGGAATTCTTTTATAATTTTATTCAAGAGCTTTATCTTTTTTGGCTCTGTCAGTTTTAAAAGATGTACATTATAGTGTTTCTGCCCCCTCTTCCAAAATGATCCCTGAGCCCTGAGTTCATTGCCCTCTGTTGCATGAGGGGGCTTCATTGACGAGAGTTGAGAGATGCATTAGTATTCTCTCTACCCCTTGTTCTACTATGTTCCATCAGACTTAGGTGTAGAGGTTGCATTGTAGATCTGTCACTTAGGGTTGGGCATGTCACAGACACTTAATCTCTGTGTGTGACCAGCTGTGGAACTCTGTAATCATCTTCGTCTGTTGGAAAAGAAGCTTCTTTGATGAGTGGTGACTGGCATACTTCTCTGTAAATATAAGGATCCATATTTAGCACATAGTATGAAATTACATTTGTCTAGGGATATGACAGCCTTGGGGTTTTCTCTTAGATCTATGACCTCTCCAGCCATGTGTATTTGGCTATGTTTACAGTACCACACATGACCATATGGAAGTAGAATCTTACAGGCTCCTAGGACCTTGCTCATATGAACTTACAGCAATAGTGACAGCATGCACAAGACTCATGTAACTCAAGCAGACAAAAACCCAGCATAGAATTGTGGAAAAGGGCAGCAGGCCCAAATCTCAGTTGAAGAACTACTGGGCAGCTGATTACTACTGGGTGAGAAAGAGCTGATCATCTTTAAGGGAGTGACTCTAGGTAGGCTGACTAGACCCCCATGCCTGAACTTGCACTGTGGGATGTCAGGGGTCACTAACTTGACTTGATAGGCATTAACATACATGACAGAATGCATGAAATCCAGTGGGAGGGGGCTATGGGAAAGTGACAGTGCAGAAGGGGGTATAAAGATAATTAAGATAAAAAGTTTATAAAATAATATTAAGTTAAAAAAAGATTTAAAAACAAAAAAAAGATTTACATTTAAAAAATCTCACACATTGGGGCTGGAGAGATGGCCTCAGCAGTTAAGAGCACTGACTGCTTTTGCAGAGGACCCGGGTTCAATTCCCAGCACCCACATGGTGGCTACAAACCGTCCTTAACTCCAGTTCCAGGAGAATCCGAAGCCCTCTTCTGACCTCCACGGCATTGCACGACACAGGTGCACTCACATACGTGTAGGCAATACACTCATACACATAAAATAAAAATAAAAATAAATCTCACATGAAAAAATTTATACAGTTTGGGGTGTAGCTCAGTGATAGTGATAGAAACTTTGTGTAGTATGCATGAGGCCCTGGGGTTCATCCTTTGTACTGCAAAAGGTATATAGCAAGAGAAGAGAGGACATGTGCAAAGAAATCACCCTGAGTTTCCCCTGAAGGCCAAGAAGGAGGAACGTCCTAAATGGGACAGCAGGAACCTCCTGCAAATAAACACAAGGGAGCTCAGCTTAAGATTCTCCCATGGAAGCTTCTATTCCTCAGGAGAAATTAGAGAAGCAGAAGTAAGATGCCGTGAGACATTGGTTAGACTTAATACCAGTCTTGCCGCGTATTTGCAAATTGTGACATTATTAGTGATTGAGTGCTTTACCCTGGGCACTTTGGCCCTTCCTGAGCAAAACACTCTGCTTTTTGCAGTTGTGAAGATTCAGTGAACTGCTGGGACACTGAACAAACCTCAGTTCCTTTCAGAGCTCACAAAAGGAGATGAGTGTTCTTGCTGAGTCACTGATTGTTTAGCCATTCCAGATCACTTGGTGGCAGCATGGAGATGCTTTTCTATTTTAATAACTGAATTCTGTCACTAAAGAATAAATGTTAATTGCGGAGGCACTTAAATTGTTGAAAGGGACTGATCAGCAGCCAGCAATATCAAAAGCCTGAATGTTGGCAGCTCATTACCATCTGAATGGCACCCAGCCTTTGTTAGGGACTTAAGAGACTTTATTAAGATTGGTCCAAGGAGTCTGTCCCCTACAATTATCCACTTAGTGTCAAGAACTTGCCTGTTGATGGGTCAGTCTCTCAGAAGCCTTGGCTTGGGTGGGTTTGCGGCATTAGTGTTTTGAGTCTGCAGCTGGCTTGCCCCTAGTTCTAACCTCTCCACCCCCACACCAAACTGGCCAAAAAAGGCCTCCTGCCTTTCACTTGCTGCCTCTAGTAGTTTAAAAGAGCACGAGAGGAGTTCAGTTCCTTTAAACATAATTAATTAGTACCTGCTGTGTGCCAGGAACACACTTGGAAGCTGTCTACCACCTAGTAGAAGAAGCAGATGATTAAACAGAAAATTACAATTCATTCTGATTTCCAGTAGTATTCGTTAAGATGAGGACTGTGAGCTATGGTTGCCTGCCTGGAAGGAGGTGTCACCTAAAGTGAATCTCCAGGAACTGCATTCTTGGGATATGGGGAAAGGGACATTCAAGGGAGTGGGGTTAACATAAGAGAAAGATAGGAAGATCTGTCTGGAACAACAATGATGTGGCCAGAAAACCCTAATCAGTTTGGTATAACGTGTTAAAGGTTACCAGTACTCAGGATCCTCCTAGAGAGATTAGAGCAGCAGGTATTCCAGGGTGATGGTCTCATGCTGATGCAGGGTCACACTATTTATTCTCTCTTACTCTGAAGTAAACACAAGTGGGAAAACTGAAGCTCAGAGAAGTTGGAGTAACACTCTGCTGCGCAGCTGGGGAGTGGCAATGTTGGGATTCAAACCCAGATCAACTTCAGAAACTAGGCTGTGCATAGAGATTAGAAACAGGGGCTGGGGCTGGAGAGATGGCTCAGTGGTTAAGAGCACTGGCTACTCTTGCAGAGGACCCAGGTTCGATTCCCAGAACCCACATGGTAGATAACAACCATCTGTAACTGCAGTTCCAGGGGAATTCGATGCCCTCTTCTGACATTCGCAGGCATTGCAGAACACAGGTACAGGCAAAATGAGACAAGTTACAGAAGGCTACTTAACTTTTTAAAGAGCTTTGACCCTCTTCTATAAGTGACAGCTGCTAATGGGAGTGACTAGAGATCTGACAATCAGGTTACAGGACCTACTCAACAGCCAGCTGATTTTGATTCCAGGAAGGTCCTTTCCCTTCTATGTTTTATAAGGAAAAAAAAAAGTAATTTGTGGTAGTAGCAAAGTCCTCTACCCCGAACTGCACCCCTCAGCTTTGCTGTTCTTCAGGCCTGCCATTTTCCTTGCCACAAGTGTTCTGTGCCTTCCCGCCTGCCTCTCCACACCCTTTCCTATCTCCACAGTAATCTCCTAACTCCTTCAAGGTTGCTAACTTACTTCCTGTGTGTCACCTTGACTCCTAATCATACTATTGTGTGTTGCTTGCTAATTCTCTCCACTGTAGTTTTTTTCTTCCATGTATGCTTTAGGCCTCTCCTTTCCTTCTACTTTTTGGCTTGTCTTAGGTCTTTTAGCACTTAGCATAGTCTTAGTCACAAAGGGAGGAAGTTACTGAAACAAACATTTTCACCATTTTATTTCTCTTCTGGCAGTGTGTGTGAACACAGCAAAGAGAATCTCATGACGCCTTCCAATATGGGGGTGATCTTTGGGCCCACACTGATGAGAGCCCAAGAGGACACCGTGGCTGCTATGATGAACATCAAATTTCAGAACATCGTGGTAGAAATCCTGATTGAACACTTTGCCAAGGTAATCCTTTTCTATCCTTGATATCTTCCCTCCAAAGAAGTGACAGCTGCCCCATGTGCCTTTTAATCTGTCTGTCTCTCTCTTTCTTTCCATTTTTTCTTCCTTCCTTCCTTTTTTAAAAACAGGATCAGGCTATATAGCTTTGGCTGGACTAGTACTCCATTATGTAACCCAAATTGACTTTAGGACTTGTAATCTTCCTGTCTTACCCTCCAGACTACTGGAATCACAAGCATGTGTCACCACACCCAGCTGTGTGTCTTCCTATTTGGTTCAAATGGACAGTCACAAGAAATTCCATTGTGATACATGATTTTCTTTTAAAGATCTATGGATTGAAACTATAGCCTTGTGCATTCTAGGCAAACAGTTTACCATTAATCTATACACTCAGCCTTATTTTACTTTTTACATAGAGAGGGTCTTATTAATTTGTCCAATCTAGACTTGAACTCAGTATGGCTTGAACTCAATATGCCTTGAAGTTATTCTGCTTCAGCCTCCCAAGTACCTGGGGTCATAGGCTTGTACCACTAAGCTTGGCCAGAAGGGCATGTAACAGTAAATCTAACTTGATATTTCATACATTTAGCAACTGTTGCTTGAGCATATGCTGTTTTACTATTAAGCATCATAGTAGATGCTGGGAATATTAAAGAAGAAACGGCCAATGTCTGGTTTTAAGAAGTTAACCATGTAGCATGGACATAGATATATAAGCAGAGGAAAAGGACAGGGATGAAGGTGATGTCTGCACAATGAAACTATAGAGTAGAAGTGATGGATATCCTTGTTGATCACCAAATCCATGACTGACACCCCTGAAACAAATAACAGATTAACAAGAGAAAAGAATACAAATTTATATGATAAGTTTTATATGCCTTGAGAACACTCCAAAATGAAACTCTCTCCCTCAAATAGGTAAACTTATACAGTTTTTAAGTTTGATGAAGAAGTAGATAGTTCTGGAGAAATGTGATTACAGAACAAAAGGGTCTGATATGCTAGAGCCAGGTGACTTGGCAAGGCTTGCTCGTTTAGATACTTTTTGGCGTTTTTGTACCTTTGAGGATAGAGATGGTTGTTTTCTCCAGGTACCTCTGGAATTTAAGTTAAGGAAAAGGTCAGAATTCTTCTGTGGCCTGCTTCAGGGAAAAGGGCAGAAGAAGGTCTGAGAACCCTTAGTTTTGCTGTTTCTTCAAATGTCGGTTTTCTATATTTCAGAATAGCAAGTCTTGAATTCCATCATAATCATAAATAAATCAATATTTTAATATTTTAAATAACATCTCATTTCAAAAGTTTTTGAGGTGGCATATTTAATATGGTATATAAGGTATAAGGTAGTATGCATTATAATTGGGTCAAATGAAAAAAAACCAAAACAAAGGGAAGCAGAAAAATTAACCCAGTAATGTCATTAGTGCAAGAAATGCTTATTAACAAGTCTTGTATACTTGTCACAGGTATCTTCCATTTTAAGAGCTTTTTAGCCCTCCTTGGGAAGCTTTATTCAATAAGAACTTTGTTTGGAGTATGGACTCTGATGTAGTCTGGGCCTAGCCACAGCTCAAGTACAAGCTTGGCCACTTTCTTTCTGAAAGGTAGGATACAGGCTGAGCTGATGACCCTGAACACAAATATACCATGGCTCCAACACAAGAGATGTATATTTATTCATGGTAAAATAGTCCGTCAAGAAGGTCCAGAGCTGGTAAGGTAATGTGGCATGATCAGGATTCCTTGTTCTTCCTTTATTGCTGCTCTGACAACCCTAACATTCTGCTTTCATCTCCATAGTCATTTATCTTCTGTGTTCTAGCAGGTGAAAGGATGAAAGACAGAAGTAGTTATTATAACTCTTTCCTTTAAAGTTATAATCTGGAAGTTACACATAACTTTTGTTTACATGTCATTTTCCATAATTTAATCTAGCAATGGTAAGTTGTAAGAGAGGTATAAAAAAAAGTACAGAGTTTGCTTGTGTCTTTGTTGGTGTTGTTTGAGGCAGGATCTTGATACATAGCTCAGACTGGCCTTGAAGCCTCCCCAGTGCTGGGATTACAGGCATGTGCCACCATGCTTATCTGTTGTAGGACACTATGTCTGGGGAGATATGAATAAACTTCTCTTCACCCTGATAGGGGAATCAACGACAGATCCAAGTATACCACCAAAATCAGTTTGGTGAACCAATGAGTTTTAATGTGGTTACTTTCAGGAGTATGGATGAGGGGTTACTTACAGTAGCAGAAATGACTCAAAGGCAGCTCTATCACCAAAAGGCCACGCCAGAATCCCTGACAGCTCAGGAAAGCAGGAAACCTGGAATGCACTGCACAACCTGCAGTCAGGTCAACAATTTGGAGAGTATCTTCTCCAGGTAGCTCACTTGGTCTGAGTTTCTTGTAGGCAGCAGGCAGCTCGGCTGGTCTCTGTTTCTTCCAGGCAATTTGGCTGATACGCCTCTTCTTGGTAGCTTGACTGGTCTGAGAGTTACTCATCAGTCCTTACTGCTTTTATTTGCAAAGGGAAGAAGGAGGTCTAGTGAATCTGGTCAGTTGCAGGGCCTTCCTGAAGCTATTGAGTTGTTTACTTTTTGAGCTTAATGAGCTTCCCTCCAGGATAGAGTGTTTCTCCTCCACTTAGAACACCCTGCTTCTTAAGGAGCCTCCCTCCCAGACGGAATGTCTTATCTGTGAAAAAATTGCTATACAACACTGGCTCAGGAAGGTATAGTCTTTATTTAGTCCAGCACATTTCCAGCTAAGACTTAAAGAAAAAAGGGAGACTGCATGCCAGGAACTAGTATTCTCTGCCATATTATAGTATTATAGTTACATTTTTTTCCAGCAGAAGTTCAAGAATGATTATAAATACCTATGTGATAGCCATATGCCCAAAGTTATTTCTTTCAGAAGTGGTAGAACAGGGTAATGAATGCTAAGATGCAGTTAGATAGGAGAAATAAGTTCCATTGCACAAAAGGGTGACACCCTACCAGCTCTGAACCTTCTTGATGGACTATTTTACCATGAATAAATAAACATCTCTTGTGTTGGAGCCATGGTATATTTCTGTTCAGGCTCATCATGTAGTTATAAGTGTACCCCGTAAATATGTATAATTATTATGCATCAACTAAGCTTTTAACAAGAGTTATCCTGGTTAAGAGTCAAAGTACTTAATCATTGTGCACTGCTGCATCAGTGGTCATGATGTAGTGACAATTTTAGAAGGCATTTTCGACTTATCAAGAAGGATAGTTGCAAAGAAGTGTGTGGGATTTGTTAAGTACTGCATTAACTAGGGTTCTCCAGAGAGGCAGAACAAGTAGAATATGCATATGGGTGCCTGATAGGAGATTTACTAAGGTTTACATATTTGTAGTAGCAGAGAAGTAGCTTAGGCCATCTGTGGGATGGAGACTCTGGGATACCAGTGACATGCCTCAGCCCAATTTCAGAAACCTCAAAACCAAGGAATCCATAGTGTAACTCCTCTTAGGCAGAAAGGCTAAAGATAAGAGGAAACTGGAGTGGGAGGCGCTGGTATAAGAGCAGGCATCCAAAGATCAGTGGGCCTAGAGACAAAACAAAATTCTGGCTCAGAAATTAGTCTTCTGTATTTCTATGGCCCCAACTTACCAAATGGATTCTGTCCTCATGGAAGATAGATCTTTCTTATGTGGGCCATTTAGACTCACATGGTAACCTCTTCTGGTAACAGCTCAGCCCCACTCCCAGTAATCACTCTAGCTATTCCTTAATCCAATCAGGCTGGCACTTTAAAATTAGGCACCACAGATTCTAAAGGTGAACAAAAAAAGAAATAGGGAAAAAAATTCAAGAGTATGACCCAGTGTGAACAAACTTCCAAAGCCTAAAACTGTATTATTGGAACATGGAATGGAAATAGGAGCAGCAAGATATGACATTGGAGGCAGATAGGATCAAGCCCCCTGCCAACACTTGAGTGCCTAGTTAATGGGTTTGGAATGTATGAATTTTCTCCTGCCTGTACTAGGAAAACATTGCTTAAGAGTAGAATAGTACTAGAGTCAGACCTATGTTCAGGAGGCCATATTTAGGTTGTAGTATGAGGATAGATCATGGGGGGGGGCTTTAATCTGAAAATAAAAGTATTTTAGTCAGAGTTAGAACAGTGAGAAGAGGAACAGGAAGGCAAAAGCAGAAGGAGTTGGGGATTGGAAATGAGAGATGTAAGAGGGAGGTTTCTGATTCTTAGATGTCTATTTGGCTAAGTGAATGCAGCCATTTTTCTTAGTATAAAGAATATAGAATGAATGGAAAAGTTTTAGGGAGATGAAGAAAAGCTCATTTGGAAGATTAGATTTGAAATTTCTGAAAGCAAGCAAGCAGGGCATTTGGTTATATGATTTGAAAGTAGAGGTCAGTGGACTTTTGCTTAAGTGACTGAATAGTAAACATTTTAGACTTTTGAGGCCACAGAGCTGTGCCACAACTGGTCAAGGCTGGCTATGTAGTAGGGAAGCAAACATACACACACACACACACACACACACACACACACACACACACGTGCACGAGAATGGGTTCAAAGAGCGAACACAGAAGTAGTAAGGCCTTAAGACCCACTGGGAACATTTTGACTTTTCCCTGTCCATAATAGAAACTGAGTTTCCAGCAGGAGAGTGACATGATTTGACTTATTTTTCATGGGAATACTATAGCTACTATGGGAAAAATAACTACAATAACTGTAGTGGACAAAAGTGGAAGTAGGAAGACTAATTAGGAGTGTACTAATGTAATAGTATACTTAAGATATGATTATACCTTAGATGGGGGTGGCAACAATGGAGATGGTAAAAAGTGGTCAAATTCTAAATACATATATATATTTACATATAATATTTTTATTAGTTCTTGGAGATGTATTTTATTTATATTTACCCCCTTCTAAATCTAGTTTAAAAGGCCAAGCCAGCAGAAAGTGCTGACAAATCATTCGTG